CCCCTACCATGGCTTTGGCCAACGACTTATCCGCCCCTACAATTTTTTTCTGGTTGCGCCCCTAATGAACAGAGGAAGGAAAAAGAAGTATAAAGAGAAGAAAATGAGAAAACAGAATCAAAGGGACAACAAAGTGATAATCAAACAATAATCAAGCAGAGAGAAAAGAGGAACGACGCAAAAAATTCATCATGAGATTATGATGAACGATTGGGTAATGAGTTCAAAGAGGTAGCGTCATATAAAGGTGACATCTATTGACGCTAACACATCCAATTTAGGATGATTGTATGAAATTGGATTTTGAACTCTAGAGATCATTGCAAATATTTATTTATTTTTAATCTAAATGATCCTATGATTTTGTTTATACGAACAATTTATTGTTACTATAAGATTTATCAATGCTGATTAAAAGTGACCAGAAAATATTATGACAGGCTAAATACTTTGAAAGTACCCATGTAGCCGATAATGGATAAATAATGGAAAAATGACCTATTATTTTCCATTATTTGAAAAAACACATGACCTAATGCATCGTGATTCAATGCATTTCATTGCATTATTTAAAGTAATCTTTTTAAGCTAGAAAATTCACCTTTTTCGTAAAAGAGATATTGAAAAAGGGATTTCACAGGTAGATGTTTGATTTAACCCAGCTTTCTCTATATCAGGCGCTTTTCAATAATAAGAGTCGCGCAGTTAAAGAACTAATAAAAACTATAACCTGAGTTGCAGCGCTCAGAGTATTTTTCGAATCCATTTTTTTGTGATAATGGAAATCTAATCGTATTTTCAAAAATCACTAGGGCATTCAAGTAAACGTGCACTATTGAATACTTGAGTCAAAATCTGATTAGGTATATCAGATTACCCTTTCATTTTCCAAAATATTTCCCTGTCAAGCCTAGGAGTTTCCGACTTTACTCAATCCCGACAATGTGTACTAACGAACCGAAATCCGATCTCGAGTTTCTATTTGATGCAAAAAAGCTACTAGAGCTTTGAATATTTTTAGGATATTCTGTACAATGAAAGAGATCACATTGCTCAAACCTCTCAAAAAAAGTTTTCCATCTTCGCCATTGCTCAGTTTCGGATGTATATAGTAAACTAAAACTGCTCACAGTATCAACTATAACCGATTCGATCAAGAATTATCCCCTCTATGAATTAATTTCTTTTCCAAAGTTGAAAGCATTTTGATACTATTGAAACAGTTGCATATCATCTATACGTTCTTGAACTATTCTTGGCTTCGACTACAATGTGGCATGATTAAAATGGTAAGTTTGAATTCAATAGTAAAAAATGATGTATTCATTGTCTTTTGTTTTAGGCTCTTATCGATCTGCTCGAAATGGTAAGTTCGAACTTAATAATAATAAACAAATTTATTCATTATTTGTCTTTTGTTTTAGATTCTTATCGGTGTGATCTAAATGATACGTTATATATATATATATATATATATGCGAGGGTTGATGAATGTTAAGGGGTAAAGTTAAGTTAGAGAGATAGATTAAGGTTAAGGGGATAGATATAGATAAATTAATAGATTAAGGTTAAGGGGATATATATAGATAAATTAATAGATTAAGGTTAAGGGGATATATATAGATAAATTAATAGATTAAGGTTAAGGGGATAGATATAGATAAATTAATAGATTAAGGTTAAGGGGATAGATATAGATAAATTAATAGATTAAGGTTAAGGGGATAGATATAGATAAATTAATAGATTAAGGTAAAGGGTTGAAGTTAAAGGAATAGATGTGCAGAAATACAGAGATACCATTATCGTGATTAGGATATCGATTTAATAGGATTATATAGATCTTGCGTAGCAAGTGCCGAATATGAAGTTTTCAATGCATTATAATGCATTAGATATAATAATGTATGCAATTACATGATAATGCAACCTATTTAATGCATTATAATGAGTTATTTGTACATAACGCATTGCAATGCAATGATATAACCATGCATTGCAATGCATTGTTCATCCTAATACGTTATAATGCATTAAATAGGTTGCAATGATGTCCATTATTTCGTAAAATCGGCTACATCGGTAATCAATCTCCTTCGCTTCTTATAGAAGAGATTAGTTTTGGTACTTAGACAAATATTATGAATCATAAACAGGGTTATTGACCTGAAAAACCTTCAACTACGTAGTCTATATACTGTCAATCAGATCTTAAAATCGAGCTGGCTATCCGTTTGGCGAAAAATACTTAGTTTATCTGTTTTCATCATGTTATAGGTTGAGAAATTATCTCATTGAATGACACATATAATTTCGGAGCAAGAGTCAAGCAGCAAGGCACAACATGGGAGCAAGAAAAGTCTTCGGCTTGCATTACTGTGTGCTACTATTGGTATAATAGCAATATCATTTGTTCTGAAAAGTTCTTTGAAATCGAAACTGATACTTTTTTCCGAACACCAATACAAAAAAGCTGTTTCAACAGCATCCTGTAAACAAGACAACGTATTCAATCATGAGGTAGCAATAACGTATTTTCCACAGAACATACACCAACGTATCTCCAAATTTCGTTGCACAGGATCAGAAAACGATATTCGGGCATGGGAAGATCGTCTCTGTGTGTTTTATAATACATGTTACAATCGAGATAGTGGTCACTTTTATTACTTTCGACCATCTGGAAGCAAGGCTAAGCCAATTTTTTATGATTCAGCCAAAGGCATGTTATTCGAGTTCAGCTTAAATAATAGCAGGACTGAGTTTGTATCACTTGCACCTGATGGACATACCCCGTGGGGACCCATTATATCAAATGAAACATATCCATCAGCGGACTTCACGATACTTCATCAATTGCATTCTCTAATAAAAAGTCGTCACGCGCAAAACAGCATAGCACATGGATTATGGGAAGATTTGGGATCGATTTCATATTCGATGGAGCGTATGAACATATTTGATCAAAAACTAGTTATTATGCATTTGGGTAAGATTCCAAATACGAAGCTGTTTAGTACATACCGTCAATATGTAATACCTGCGTTGACAGAAAATGCTATGGTAGAATTCGAGATTTATGTTACCTCTTTCAAAACTAAGCACGTATGTTTTGATAGATTAATTGTTGGCGGTCAACTAAGCGTCTTTCCGAAACTCAAAATAAAAGAAAATCATGGACGTGAAGCACTTTTTTATAACTGGCGATCCAAAATTATAAAGTACTCTGGATTCGATCCGAATTTTCTGCCGAGAAAACATCATATCATAGTTACCAATAAATCGCATTCGCTCTTCACAAATTCTCATTCTAACAGACATCGTGCAATAGTCAACTTGAAAGAAGTTGAAATGTTTATTAAGCTTACCTATCCAACTATATCTTCTGAAGTAATAGAGTGGCATACTATTCCGTTTAAGAAGCAAATTGAGAAACTACTACAGACAACTATTTTGATTACACCATGCGGTGGAGTGTCTCTAATCATACCAATGCTACCACATGGAGCTCATGCAATAGTGATGGATTACTATGTTTCAGTAGCTGCCCATGGATTTCATGCAGGTGAAAGTGGCTCCATGGAAGGTGCATTTTTAAACCATATATCCCATGTACGAAAGCAATATTACCAGGTGTACGGAAGAAGCGATTACGAGTTTGATTATCCGGGCACGTCAGATACCCGGGAGCAGGCATCTACCATAGTAAATATGACACGTCTACAACTGCTAATCGATAAAGCTTTAGAAGAAATGGAACCCTAAAAAATGACTGTTGAGAACCTTCTTAACATCAGACTGCCAGAAAATTTTAAATCATAAGCGTGTAACTTCAAGTGCACCAAAAGGAAGCAAATCTAAAGAGAATTGCCAGCCAAGTGCTTTACAATAAAAGTCACGGAAACTCCCTGCGGATTACGTCTGGAATGTGTTTTGTGGATGTTTATGGATAGCTGCTGATTTAGGTGTGAGCGTTCCTGCGAATGTGAAGATCGTGGCAGGTGAGATTCTTTCTTACTTCAACATTACTCATAGGCATACACACCTACACCATAACAATCACAGCTAAAGTCACAAGAACACACAACAATACCACAGCCCACAATAACTGCCACAAGTAGGCAGACAGCGAATCCGAGCTACCAGGGTTTGATACTAAACGGGTTCAGTCATATCCGGATCTCGGTGGTACCCCGGTTCAGTCACACCTGGTTTTAGTTTATACCCAGGTTTGGTATCAAGATTCCTTGGTCTGCTTATTCGTATCCTTCGAAGCATACAAATGAATAATAAATAGCACCTATAGATAGATGGTAAAAAAATGATTCTGTACCAAAGGATTATCGGCTCTTCCTCAATCCATCATAGATAATCTTATTTACCACGAACGTATATAATTAAATGAACTCCTCTTAATATCTTTTGGGTGTGGGTGTGGCGATGGCTGTGAGTATGGGTGTGAGAGTAGTTCTTGCTCTGTTTACACTCCCACCCACACCCATTATTCCAAATGATGGAGAATTTTAAGATAATGCATTAACATTCAATGCATTATTTAGAACAATATTTTTAAGTTAGAGAATTCACCATTTTCGTAAAAGAGATGTTAAAAAAGGGATTTGACAAGCAGATGCTTGATTTAACCCAGCTTTCTGTGTATCAGGTGCTTTTCAATAATAGTAGCTTAAGTTAAAGAACTCATTAAAAATGTAACCTGAGTTTCAGCACTCAGAGTATTTTTCGAATCCATTTTCCCTGATAATGGAAATCTAATCGTAGTTTCAGAAATCACTAGTGAATTCAACGAAACCTACACTATGGAATACTTGAGTCAAAATCTGATGAAGCAAATCAGATTATCCTTTCAGTTTCCAAAATATTTCCCAGGCAAGCCGAAGAGTTTCCGAGTTTACTCAATCGCTAAAACGTGCACTAACAACCCGAAATCCGACCTCGAGTTTCTATTTGATGCAACGAAGGACTACTAGAGTTTTGAATGCTTTTAGAATATTCAGTAGAATGAAAGAGATCACAATCCTTAAACATCCCAAAAGAAGTTTTCCCTCTTCCTCATTCTTCAGTTTCGGATGTATCTAGTAAACTGAAACTGCTCACAGTATCAACTTTAACCGATTCGATCAAGAATGATTCCCTCTATGAGATGGCTTCTGTTCCAAAGCTGGAACGGTTTTCATAGTATTGAAACAGTGTTGCATCATCTATACCTTCTTAAACTGTTATCGGTTTCGACTACAATGTGACATGATTAAAACGGTAAGTTTGAATTCAATAATAATAAAATTATAGGCTCATTGTCTTTTATTTTATGTTTTTCTCGATCTGGTCGAAATGGTAAGTTAGAATTCAATATTAGAATTATTTCTATTTCTTTTTCTGTGTTTTAGGTTGATATCTATTATGATCGAAACGGTAAGTTCGAATTTAATAATAATAAACTTATTTATTCCTTAATTGTCTTTTGTTTTAGATTCTCATCGATATGTTCAAAATGATATGCTATGGGATATATATATATATATATATATAAGAGGCCTGATGAAAGTTAAGGGATTTACTTAGACAGATAGATTAAGGTTAAGGGGTTAAGTTATGTTAGCTAGATAGATTAAGATTAAGGGGATAGATATAGATAAGTTAAATGATTAAGGTTAAAGGGTTGAAGTTAAGGGAATAGATGTGCAGAAATACAGAGATACCATTATCGTGATTAGGATATCGATTTAATAGGATTATATAGATCTTCCGTAGCAAGTGCCGAATATGAAGTTTTCAATGCATTATCATACATTATATATAATAATGTATGCAATTGCGTGATAATGCAACCTATTTAATGCATTATTATGAAGTATTTGTACATAACGCATTGCAATGCAATGATATAACCATGCATTGCAATGCATTGTTCATCCTAATGCATTATAATGCATTGCAATGTCCTTTATGTCGTAAAATCGGCTACATGGGCAGTCTGTAATGAATTACTTGTTGTAATAGCCATTAAATGGCATTTAAAACGACAAAATTAGGCTTCTTATATTTTTATTTAGAAAATTGTTTGTGGTCAGGAACGACTATTTACGCAAAATAATGTGCCGTGTGCATACTTTTACATTTCATACAACGGATGATGCAAAAAGATTTTGTACAAATTTCAAATGTTGTGAGCCCGTGCTGTCCAATTCTGATTTATCTGAATTTTTTCGTGTTAGAGAGAGCAATATCTGAACTTCAAATTTTATACCCAAAAATATTTTTTCAAGAAGAATCTGGAAACTAGAAGAAGGCGAAAATCTAACGTTTGTAAAAAGGCTCTTGCAATTGCACAGTGCAGAAGCAGAATTCTTGTTTTTTGTTAATCATTCTTATAATCAAAGAGAATGGAAGAATCAACATCAACCATAACTTTTGTAGCAAATAGGATGCCCTTTTCAAAGGTGTATTCAAAGTTAAATTTGATTATTTTTTTGCGTAACTATTAAGTTTTGTCAAAGAAACTGACATATTTGGTACTAAGCTCGTTGATTTCGACCTCCGATTCCCACCGGAAACGGCTCAGATCTATTGAAATTCCTGCACCATTTTGCATGTTCCCGCGTATTTTCCTTAGGAACTCGTCGGAAAATTATAGTATATTGACGCAGTTTTCCCATTACCAGGTCGAGAACTACGGGTCAGTTCCCGTAGGAATTGCCTCAACTCGCCGGAACATGGAATCAGTATTCCGTCCGTAAAGTTTTCCAAGTTTTTTCTCATGATTTCGGGTGCACCTTGACGAAAAACACAGTAATTTGGTTGGAAAATCATCAAAACAAATCCAGAGAGTTTGCGGCCGGAACACTGCTACCATGTTTTAATGATATCATCTGTTTTCATACAGGACACAGTGGTTTTCAGACATATTTACTGTCAGTGTCTCCAGGATCCGGTGAAAAGAACGATCGACGTGGGATGTTGGATCTAAAAAGAAATAACATATTTCATCAGCTTTAACTATTAACCCTTTCAATGCTGACTTTTTCTTGCGTTCTGTATGAACACAAAAAGTCGATAAATATCTCTCTCTCTTGCGTTCTGTCATTACTATCAGCTGTATACGAAAACTAGTTTCATTATTTATAGCCATAAGATATGAATAAAGTTCGGAAAATGACGATTTATCAGTGTAGAACTTGTGATGGACAACCAGGCTTTTGTTTTCCAGAATGTTTCGAAAAATTTCACCTTATTTCACGTAAAAATGATCAAGAAATAATAAACTAAATGACGCATGTGATGGAGAATCTGGATATATTTCGATATAGTAATGAGAAGAACGTTCAATATGTGCCAGTAAAATATATCAATGATAGTCATCTTAGTATCAGTTAGGTCTCTCGTTTCTTTCTTTCTATCAATCATATGATATTCGTCAACTTAGAAGGCGACAGAACGCAAAATATATATTTTCGTTCTGTATGTCATCTCGTAGATGACATGCCGCAGTGAAAGGGTTAAAACCGAACTCACAATTATTATTTGCTAATATTATGTTGCATCTAAATAAAATAAAATATTTCATTACATTTTAACTTTCAAAATCAAATTCACCCTGGTACGATTTGTTCATCTGCTGTGTTAGAATTCTAGTGGTCTCCTACAATTCTAAACGGAGATTAAGTTGTCTTTTCTAGCATAACGGTAGTACATCTGCCCGGATAGCAGAGGATGTGTGGTTCGAATCCCACGAAATGATTATCTTTTTCTCCGTTCTGTGATCATATAATCTCGCTGTTAGTCCAGCACCTAACATTCTGTTTGATCTAAATAGAAAAAAATTTCATCAGCTATTGAGTTTTAAAATCGAAGTTACCATTAATATTTGTTTATCTGAGAATGGATCTAGATAAAAATAAAATATTTCATCAGCGTTTAAGTTTTAAAATCGAACTCACCATTAACATTTACTCGTCTAACAATCGATCTAAACTTAGAGAAAACAAGCAACCATCGCCACTCGACTCACTGAACCCACGAATGCACAACGCAGACGTATTTTCTGTAGATACGGATACCGATAGGATCATTATATAAATTTTGTCACACAATAGCAATAGAAATTTCAGTCAAATTCTAAATCTAAAAGAAATCAAACCATCAATGCCCACATCATCTTCAATTGTTAAACTCCTCTGACGCAGAAAAATATTACCAGATTATGAGATGATAATATATACTCAGCCAAGCTATACTCGCATCCTTAGAAAAAAAATTCAATATAAGGATAACAAGTCTCATTTCCGATCAGTCCAATTTCTGATCGATGGGAGCTAAAATGAAAATAATGATGACGGATTCCGATTCCTGGAAGTCGATAACCTATTTTAAATTTTCATCAGAATTGAGAACAGAATTGAAATAAAGTGTCGAACTCTGTAGTCTGTGGCAGAGATGCGATCGGTTAAGGTTTTTTTAAACCGAACCGAACCGACCCGAAAAATTTGCCAACCGAACCGAGCCGAACCGAACCGAATTGGAATCTAAGCGAGTCGAACCGATCCCAACCGAAAAATTTGTACAATTTTCAAATTTCTTTGAAAAATTTATGATGCTATTAGAAAGCTTTTTTTAAAAACTGATAATTGCTGTACAATATAGATAAATTTATTTATCCAGCTTTAGTAAGAGAAAATATTACAATTATAAAAAAATGAAAACAATGCTAGGAGCTTTTTAGTTTTTGTTTTGTGGAACTCGCATATTTTCGAAGAAAATAGAGTGTAAGTTTAAGAGCGAGATTGTTTGCGATTCCTCCCACCCCTCCGTTTCAGAGATAAAACGTTAAAAGAATCGCATGTACGTTCACTAGTTACAAAAAAAATTTAGTACTGTTCGATAGCTTGCGTTCACTACTACTTATGTCACTAATTAAAATGTATTTTCGTTAATTAGATCTCATTATAATTAGCATTTAATTGAAGATTTGCTTTTGAAAAGCTGTATTTTTACTATTAAAGACTATAGTCACGAC